CCTAAACCATATTTATTGATAGTCCAACAACCCGAATATTAAATAAATCTATTTGTTAGTTATATTGGTATATACTCTATATTACATAAAACTATGTTCTTGAACGAAACAATTTCAATACATAATTATTCACATTATCATATCGTTAACTATTCCATTTGTTCAGAGGTTTTTCTACGCAATGGAATGAATGGTAGACATCGAACTAGACTTACTAGTATTACAGCTACCTCCATACCATCCTGTCTGACATCCATTAGGACATTGACCAGTTATAACATCACATTTATCATAGTTCAAACAATAACAGAAATTATTGCATTCTGAACCATACGTTCCTGGAGCACAAACTGTAATAGAGAGAGACATTACGTCCCTGTAGCACAAACTGTAATAGAGAGAGACATTACGTTCTTAGAGCACAAACTGTAATAGAGAGAGACAGTACGTTCCTAGAGCACAAACTGTAATAGAGAGAGACAGTACGTTCCTGTAGCACAAACTATAATAGAGAGAGACAGTACGTTCCTAGAGCACAAACTATAATAGAGAGAGACAGTACGTTCCTGTAGCACAAACTGTAATAGAGAGAGACAGTACGTTCCTAGAGCACAAACTGTAATAGAGAGAGACAGTACGTTCCTGTAGCACAAACTGTAAAAGAGAGAGATAGTACGTTCCTAGAGCACAAACTGTAATAGAGAGAGACAGTACGTTCCTAGAGTACAAACTATAATAGAGAGAGACAATACGTTCCTAGAGCACAAACTGTAATAGAGATAGTCAGTACGTTCCTAGAGCACAAACTGTAATAGAGATAGACAATACGTTCCTAGAGCACAAACTGTAATAGAGATAGACAATACGTTCCTAGAGCACAAACTGTAATAGAGAGAGACAATACGTTCCTAGAGCACAAACTGTAATAGAGAGAGACATTACGTTACTAGAGCACAAACTGTAATAGAGAGAGATAGTACGTTCCTAGAGCACAAACTGTAATAGAGAGAGACAGTACGTTCCTGGAGCACAAACTGTAATAGAGAGAGACAGTACGTTCCTGTAGCACAAACTGTAATAGAGAGAGACAGTACGTT